CCCCGCCCCGCCCGCGGGCGCAGCTGCGCACACGCCACAGACAATGCGGCTGGTTTCGGCACGCCTCCGGACCACCGGCGCGGCGAGGAGCCAACACCGGCCGCGCCACCCACGCCTTCCTCCGCGCCAAGCTTCGCGCCAAGCCGTGAGAAGTCAACAACGCGAGAGAGTTCGCCCGGGCTTCCCAAGCGCCCGCCCACCTTTATTTACACCCTCATTGAAGTTGAAGCATCTGCGAGAACACACTGGCGGGTCGGTCGGGTCCGGTCGTCGGCGACAACCCACGAGCCGTCGTGGTGGTGACCTCACCTTCCACGTCGTACGAGTCGCGGACCTCGAAGGCGTCGTCCACGGCGAACCCCTCGTCCACAAAGTCCACCAGGTTCACGTTCACCCCGATGCTCGCCCTGGGCGGGCGGGGGGCGTGGTCGCCCAGCGGCCCCCTCGGGGAGCTCGGGGCGGGGGTCGCGGCGGACAGCATGGCGGGGTGAGTAACGGTGCACTACGGACAGAGCCCCTGTCGCGGGCCGTGGCGAAGCAACATCGCCACCCTCGCCGGCACGCTGCACCGCGCAGCTCCGGTTGTGTCTGGGTCCGCCTGACAGTCGCGGCCGGCGGCGCACTCGCTACTGCCGAGCTGCGGGCGGGCGCAGCGCAGGGGCCGCCGCGGCTCAGCACCGGCCCGCGCCCGCGGCCCGCGGCCCCCACCAGCAGCGCCGGCCTTGCTGCCCCCCGATGACGACTGCTGCCACCCGCCACCCCTGGCACGGCCTGCAACTACTGCCCGCTACCCCTTGGTATGGTCTGCAACTACCACCCGCTACCCTGGCTTGTGGCCACATCCTCTGCCCCAGAGGCTACAAGTACCACTTGGCGTACTCTCGTCGTTTACCCCCCGAGCTCCGCGCCAACCCCGCCGCTGCCACACCTGACCTGCACCCACAGCTCTGGCCAGGCTAACGCGCCCCGCCCCGCTGTGACCTCAGTCACTGCCCCCCGTCGCTAGGCAACCCCGCGCCCAGGGGCGCTCACCTGGTCAGGGGTGCGGGCCCGGCGGGCGGGGCGAGCAGGTGGAGTCGCAGCGTGCGCGCGCTCGTGCGACGGGATGGGTTCGTGCGGGAGCGGGAGGGGGCTTTCTCAGCTTAGGGTGTCATTTTCTGTCTTTCCCTTGAAGAATCTATCCGTTTATATAGCAATCAACGCTTTCACTTTCATTGGACTATACACGATACACGTCACAATAATGAAACGCTTTTTGAATTTAATAGGTTCATTCGGAACTTGTTTGTTAGAGGTCGCCTCGCAATGTTCTCAAAAATAAAAAGGTCAAGAAAATTCACTTTTGAAGATGTAATTTTGTGAAGCAGTAGTTCCCGTGCGGAGAACCTGCGTACTAACGGATGGTCGGCCACAAAACGCGCATTTCAATTTAAATTTTGCACCTAGGACCTGCTGTGTCAAGCCCCCATCCGGCTGCACCTCACTGGGCAACGCCACGCCACGCCACGACACGCCGCCGACACGGACCGCGCGGAAGGTCAGACCTCGCCGGTGCAGTCACCTTCAAGGTGTGCATTGAACACTTGAGCGCCACGCCCAGAGCGGTGTCACCAAGTGGCGCGAGACTCCCCACAGCTATGTTGTCGATGTTTCTAGCAGTAAAACTCGAAAGGTGCCCACAGTTTAACCTTTCTTGTCACAAAGGTCCACTAAAACTGTGACATCAGAGTGGAGTGTAATTACTACATGGACACTTTTCGTGGCCTGCCGCCCCTCACCCCTCACATGTGAGGAGTCCTGGGGTGGGATAGTTCATCTCTGCAACATCTGTTCAGGCGAAACCGACGCCTGCGTATGCCAGTTCTAATTTGAACCTTGGTAGGTCCAACACTATGCGTAACCCTTGCAAACAATGAAAATTTCATCGAGCCCACCATACAATAATAGCAATAGTCTGGGAATTGTTATTACATATGGTTTTTGAAAATTATACTAGTATTTTAAGGGTGTTTTGTGTGATGCACTGATCTAGGCGCAAAGGAGAGGTAGCTCGAAAAGCACGAGGTGTAATGAAGGCAATACGCAATAATAGTCGAGTCCAAAATCGGGGTGGGACTGGAAACTCGACGGCAACGCGAGAAACAACCCGCCGCAACGATCTATTCGCTGTCCCACGACCACGAAGACAATCCCAACAAACACTACTGACTCACGCGCCGAGTCGCACTGTCGCCCTATAAGGTGGTCGATAAGGAACCGTATATGGTAAACCCTCTCTCCAGAGCCCTTCAAATCCAGTCTCTCGTTGCCGCTGCATTGTTCCCAGTCTGATCGGTCTGAGCCTTGAAAAGGGGCAATCTAATTAGCGCAGTAATAATAAACCGTCGTGCCCTCCTGCTAAAGGTAAACTCAGGACGATGAATGGCATCGTGCTTTGCGCGTACGTCAACCTACACACGAAGGCGACTGGGGAGCGTTGAGCAAGCCTGTGTGCACTTTCATCGTGAGCCGTGGGGAGTATCGCCAGCGGCGCGCACGGGGTAGCGCCACACCGCGGCGTCGCGACGGCCGGCGGTGCTGGTTGGGCTGCCGCACGCCACGGCGCCCGCGGCTCCAGAGTCTGGGCCGTTCTATTCTAAAACTAAACTCACCAGCGATATCCCGGCGCTCCTGCGGCGTTAGTCTCGCCCGCACCTCCTGGTCCTCCAGGATGTCGTTCAGGCACCGACTATTTTCGCTGCACGTTTGGAAGAAGTCCGCCTGCATTCAAACGGAACAGATGTGTTACCCATCATTTCAATCTGTCTAACTCCGGTCTGTATACAGGCGGCGCACTTACGTAGTCTCTCCCCAGGATGAGAATGGTGGCGGCCGTGAGGTCGCCGTCGAAGACCTGTCCGTGGCGCTCGTACTGCGCTCGTGACTGGCCCACCCGTCGCCGGAGCTCCTCCAGGTCGGAGTCACTGTCCGCGTCCTCCCGACCAGGCTGCAAACAGGAATAGTACTTCTTGCACAACTGACTCATCAAATTAAATTCCGAGGACTCCTGGGGCATAGCCACAACGGAAATATCAAGGGCGTTGCGCCACTCACCCTCACGCGACGCCGGTGAGGCGGCGAGCCACCCGGCGAGCCCCCGTTGGGGTTGGTGCTGAGGGAGGACGCGCAGTCGCTGTCCAGGAACGCCCGGTAGTCGTCGCCGAACTCCAGGAGTCTGCGGGCAGCTTCTGGGTCCGGCGGGTCCTCGCTGTACGGCTCGCTCAGGTACTTTTCCTGGAAACGAAGGAAGTGGGTACGGGCAGCGTTAACTAAAACATGTCATTCGAATAAGAACAATCGGTAGCTGGTAGGTTGTGGGCATTAACTGACAAATCAAGCGGTCAGTCGCTCAAGTCAAATTTAAAAACTTTCAAACTTTCTAGGTTTTGTTTTTTAAGAATCTGAATCTAAAGAAAAGTAATTTGACTTTCTTCTATTTTACGACAAAATAAAACCAAATCCGAAATCCGAAAGTGTTGAAACTTGTTGTTTGTTTGTCCCGGTTGAGATAGATTTACCTGGTAGCTGTCCCAGGACGCTTGCTCGGTGCTGTGGATGCTCATCTTGTCCACGTCGCTGCCCAGCACACCTGCCACCCCCGCGCCGGCCCCCGGGGCCCCCGCCCGCCGGCGAACGCGCGGTGCCACCGAGATGGTGCCCTCCTCGGGGCCGAGGCGGAACACGGGCGGCTGCAGCCCCGGGGTGGCGAGGGGCGCCGCGGGCGCGGCCTGCAGGCCGGCGCCCAGGGCCGCGCCCAGCGCCGCCCCCTCCTCGTCAGAGCTGCTGGACGCGCGGCGCAGCGGGTCGGCCGCGGCCGCCCCCGAGAAGGAGCCGGACTTGACGAGCGTCAGCGGGTGGCGGCCCGGCGAGGACAGCGGGGTGCCCGGTGTCAGCGGTGAGTCTGGCAGCGGCACCACGCCGTCGGAGCCGGAGTCGCAGCGCCGGGACTGCTGCACACGGACAACCATCAGTCAGGGCTCACTCGGCACAGCAGGGTCCCCCGGACGTCGTCTCGCCGAGCCCAACTTACCGTTCGCTTCCGGAAGCGCAGCTTCCTGCGCCGCAGCGACCCCGCCGCGGAGCCCGAGCCGGGGGTGAGCTCCTCGCGGGCGTGCTCCTCCACGGTGGACGAGGACGCGCGCAGCTCGGTGGCCTCCCCGCCCGAGGCCAGCGGCGGCGGCGCGGCCAGCCGGTGCAGCGCCGACTCGGAGATGGAGAACTGTGCCAGCGGCTCAGCCAGCCCGGCCAGCGCGCCGCGGGGCAGCGTGGCCGCCAGGTGCGACAGCCCGGACACGCTCCAGGGCCGGCTCGCCAGCAGGCCGCGGTGATGGGGGCGGCGCAGGGTCACCTGCAACACAGGGGTGTCAGGCCCACCGCCACGGCCGCCTCCTGGGGCAGGGGCCCGCAGCAGGGCCTCGCTTACCTTGGCAGAGTGGCACTCGGAGTGCAGCCGCGGCGCGCGCTCGCTGACGGGGGTGTCCAGGATGGCCTCGGTGGAGCCCGCCGACATCCCCGTCGACAGCGCGATCTCCCGGTACGTGGCCACGCTGCAGTTGTGCGCGTCCTCGGAGGACATGGAAGCGCGGTCCTCCTCGGAAGAGTCCTCGGTGTACTCGCCGCTAGCGTCGCAGCTGTCAGGGGGCTGTGGGGGCGGAGAGGCGGGGCGGTTAGAGAGGCGATCACGACGCCAACCACGAGAGAATAATGCCGAGTCCTTGGCGACGGCGATCGCCTATCAATCGCAGTGACATTGCAGAAAGGAGGACGCTGCGCGCACGCTCGCTCACCTGACCCTGCTGCGCGCTGAGCCACTGCTTGGTCCTCGCCAGCTTGGCGGCGCGCTGCCGCCCGGAGCTGACGGTGGACTCGAGCCGCAGCGGCTCGAAGCTCCTGGCGGCGGCCTGCGCGCGCAGCGGCGGTCCCGCGGGCGCCACCAGCGCGGCCTCCTCGGCGCGGGGCAGCGCCTCCGCCTGCGCGCCGCAGCGCCGCACCAGCGCCTCGGCGCCGAGCACCAGCCGCTGGATGCTCTCGCTGCGCGCGGGGGACAGCTTCGGCACCGCACCTGGGGGGCACAGCACGGCGTCAAGAGCATTCAAGCACACCCCGGACACCCCGGTGGGGGCGGCGCCGAGGTACTTACTCTCGTAGTGCCTGCCGTTGAGGTTGCCGTTGAGGCTTCCGCTCAGGTTGCCGGTGAGGTGGCCGTTGAGATGCCCGTTGAGGTGCCCGTTGAGGTGCCCGTTGAGGTGCCCGTTATGGCTTCCGTTGGTAGTCCCATTAACGCTTCCGTTGCCGTTGACGACGTTGAGGCTGTCGTTCATGCTGCCGTTCAAGCTCCCGTTCAGGCTGCTGTGCATGCTGCCGTTGACCCGGGTGGCCTCGTTGCCGTTGACGGCGCCGCCGTTGCCCTGCTGGTACGTCCACTCCTCGTCCGTGTCCGAGGTGGAAGTGCCGTGCCTCCGGGAGGGGTCAGACGTGTCCATGGTAGAGCTGTTGTTGTTGTTGTGGCCGTCGTCGGGGTGCTCGGAGAGGTCGTCGTCGAGAGGGAGGTTGTCCTGCCGATCCGAGTCCGTGTCCGTGTGCCGGAAGTAGTAATAGGCGCAGTTGGGTTGCGAGCCGAACCTGCGGACCGAAAGAGAGGAGCGTTGGGTTAGCGAGTCTGGACGGCTCTCAGCATCGGGTTCTCACTCAACACGGGGAGCTCGGCCGGACCAAGGGCGCTTGTATAAGCAGACTAAGACGTCTGCTACAGTTTTGCGTTCCCGACCCCGACTCTAATTAATGAACGGCTTTTCACGAACGGACAACAGGAGAGAGATCTCCCGGTCCAGTCCTGCCCGCCCGTCACATCCATGACAGATCGGCTCCTCCCGCCAAGTGAACAGGAAAGGTACAAAAACAAGTAAGGAGAAAATTAGTTCAGCGTGTTGGTGAAAAAGCTTGTTGGCTAGCCTGGTTCTCTTTCTTATCGAGAGTTAAAGAGTTTAAGGTATCATCTTCGAAAAACGAATAGCTATGAAGCTATGTAACTTTGTCACCCGAGTTTTGACTTGCAAGTCTCAAGTGGTCCGATGGTGCCACGTGCTACAAGCCGCGGGCAAACTACAGTGCTCCTCTCCAGGCCTGGAGGCCGGCTACTCCAGGAGGCCGGAGGACTTTCACTGGACACAGCATCGCCTTGGCATTGCTCGGCACAAAGGGAGAGGCATGAACCATGACTGAAAAGGGATTGAGGATAGAAGAATAGCAGCCGCGGGCGGGGCGGCAGGGCCGGGCGGCAGGGCCGGGCGGCAGGGCCGGGCCGAGGCGCTGTGTCCCCCGTGAAGGCGTCCGCACGGGCCGGACAGGAGGGGCTCTACTGCAAGCTCCAGGGGCTCCAGGTTCCAGGCTCCAGGCGCTCAGGCCCTGCATTGTCTCGCGGTCTCCATAAACATCCTCTAGGCAAGGCACTCCACACTCTCCAGCCCGGCGCTGTTCCTTCCGCACTTTTAACATAGTTCGTTTGGGTTTCTCCAGAGCTCCCCGCCAACTGCATGCGGGTCCATGTCTAGGAGCGAAACTGTGTGTTGAAATATTTGCGAGGGCCGCCCAGTGGAAAGTTTGAATTGTTAGCGACGGGCCGAACGGGGGGCGATCGCTTGAGGGCGATTCGGGATTCGCAAGTTGCTCCCCCAACTTGTCTCAATTTTTATTTCTCTCAAACCCGACCCCCCGTCGCCGCCATCTCCTGAGGGCCGTCTAGACTAATGTATGAATTTATACATCTCGAAGTCGTCTCGCCCATCAACATGACAAAGGCCACTCCCCTGACGGAGGTGTTTAAATTCCTCCGATTCGCTGAACTCCCTCCCTCCCGCTCCCGGGCCGGTCACTCACCTGTCGTCCCGCAGCACGGCGGCGTTGATGTTGGCGGTGCTGGTGACGTTGTGGTTGACGTCGGCCGGCAGCTCGGCGGCCATGTCCTCCTCCTCCTCGGCGGGCGGCGCCGGGGGCGGCGGGCTGCCCCGCGCGCGCCCGCACTTCCGCCGCCGCTTGGCGCTGGCCTGCGGACAGAGCAGAGAGGCATCAGGGCGGTGTCGGTATCTCACGCACGGGTCGCCGGCGCGCCAAACGCCTCGCGGAACTTTCTTCAAGGTAATTGCCCCTTTTCGCGCGCCGCGCCCGCCCCGTGGCAGAGCGAGGGGC